CTCTCTGCCTACTTGTGGTCTCTGTCTCTCAAATAAATAAATAAAATCTTAAAAAAAAAAAAGAAACCATATTTAATCAAAGGATAGAAACACCAAAATTAATACCAAAGCCAAGAGATTGTGGAAGTCATCAACCACAGAAAGATTCTGATACATTTCTAGAAGGCAAAAAGTGAAATGTAGGAGTGATGGACAGAATGATCAAGAAAAGACTACCCTGAGAAGGGGCTACACAAAACCAGTTTACTTCTGCTGAGCCTTGGATATAGTAAGGAGAGAGAGAAGAGGGGCTGAAAACAAGGAGACAAAAGTCCAGAATAAAAGTTCATTTAATGAGCTCCAAGGATCACTCAGTCTGCCCTCCATATTACTCTGTATGAATTACAATAGATTGTTGGTGAGCAAAATAAGGGAAAGGGAATGAGTGGTCAGCCACAGGTTATTAGCTATAGTTCATTGTCTTACTACAAATTCCATCCAAGGCTGCCCACCCATGGCTTCATTTGCCATAACTGAAGATAACTGCTTTTTAATTGTCAAACGAGGAGTAATCTTTCTGGCAACTTTATAAATAGCTGTTATTGTTAAAGTATTTTCATTAATGACTAAATCAATCATCTAAAAAAATTTTACCTTGACAAAGTCTATCTCAACCTGTTTGCTTCTGCCAAGCCTTAATATTATCTAAGAATAACGACTTTCCATCTAAATTGTTTCATCTTACGAGGACAAGTAAGAGAATCGTCTGTATTTCCAAAAAAGCACCTTGTCCCTATTCCCATTTGACAAGAAAAATGAAGAGCTAGATTTTTCTGGGATATCCTTGTCCAAATTTCCTTTTATGGTCCTGAAGTCCTAACACCCATCATGTTTAATTCTTCCTCCTTTGGGGAAAAAAAAAAAAAAAAGAGATAGAAATAATATGACTGTAATTTATTGTTTTCAGATATGTCAGATGTGACCACCTTTTTCAGAGTTCCTCTAAGAAATCTTTGCCCAAAATTTGTACAAACTTGCTATTTCTGTTCAAAAAAAAAAAAAAAATCAAGAAATTGTTCCTTATTGAACTCTTCTCAAATGATATCAAGAAATTATGGCTAAATGTCATAGCTGTAAATCATTTCTCCTCCTAGAGAGTTTAGAAAGGCCTTATAATATTTGTCCTTTTTTTCAAGCAGAATGTGGGTCTGAGTGAGACCTGCTGTGTCCCACCAACCTCAAAGTTTCCTAAGGACAGAAGTCCAAATTTCCTCCACCAACAGAGCTCTAAAACTAATTCTGTAGCATATGAATCATGCCCACAGCTATTTCAAATACAAAAAATAAAAATATATAGAAAACCTTAAAATGTATATACATTTTTCTTACTGATCAGGATGATTCTTGGTTCTGAAACGTTTGCATGTCATATTTGTAATGTGCAACATCAGCCCCATGAGAGAGAAACACTTCAATGAAGTAAGTTGAAGGGCTGCCTGGGTGGCTCAGCCAGTTAGGCGTCTACCTTCAGCTCAGGTCATAATCCCCAGGTCCTGGGATGGAGCCCCACCATGGGCTCTCTGCTCAGTGCAAGGCTGCTTCTCCCTCTGCCTGCTGCTCCCCCTGCTTGTGCGCGCGCGCTCTCTCTCTCTGTCTCTCTCTCTCTCTGACATGTAAATAAATAAAATCTTAAAAAGAAAATGAAGTAAGCCAAAGAAACGAGATTCAAAGTACGTAAAGCCATGCGTAAGGTAAGATTTGTTTGAAATCCTTCTGAGCATGCTGAAGCTTCCAGCTCCTAGACAGTAATACATGTTCCCCTTGCCACACTCCCAAGAGTATGTCTCCCCTCTTGTGCATAAGAATGTCTAGAATTACATGTATGTGCCAACAATGTGGAGTGAACCTGGCTGGCATACTCACAATGACCAAACTGTATTGATCTTACTTTAGTCCATTACACTGCTCCACTATTAACTTGAATAAATGATGGATTTGCTTTCTAGACATGACCAGCTTCTCATCTATATGGAATAATCCACTGGTGCATTCCTTTCAGGTGGATAACAATTCACCTAGAATATAACCTTTATATATTTACATAACATCTTTAAATATCATCTTACCTATCTGGATCCTTCAAAGTAGACCAAAGAGCAAATTGGGTCTGCAAGGCTGAATTACGATTGTGGGATGGTACAAGGCTCACAACTGATGGTCCATGCCCCCCGTGTTCTGAGATCAGAATCCAGTGTGGTCCCTGATCAATTTGAACAAAAGAAGACTTCATATTGGGCAGTGGCTGTGCTCATTGTGAGTACAGCACCATGCTCAGCACCCTAAGAACTACAAAAAATAAAAATAAAAATTTAAAAAACGCTAACACACACTCCAGAGGAAGAGCTCTGGGATCACTCGGGCTGGGTTCGCATCCCGACTAAGGCACTACCTTCTGTGTGACCCCTGCCAAATTCCTAAAAAGAAAGAAAGAACTTACCTGCCAGAAAGGGAGGCCACGGAATACAGCATCTAGTCAGGTCCGGCTTGGGAGTCTGCTCAGAAACCTCGGCCGCTTGTCACCAGGTGACTCTGGTGGCCTGGCTCCAGGCCTCGCAGGGAAGCAGGGAAGTTCCCTCGAGCAGCAGGCCACCCCTCGCAGCGCTAGGGGGCTCCCGTGCTCGCTTGTTTGGCTTGCTCCGGGGAGGGCTGGCAACACACAGCGGGGGCGTGGGGACCACCGCAGTCCCACAGAGCTCCCCACATTGGCCCCCAGGCGGCCATATTGGGGCTAATCAACTCCCAACGTCAGAAGGACTTCCCAGGCCCTGGAGGCTGGTGGGCGGGGCTCCGAGGCCCCGCCCTTTGCCCTCTGGCGTATTCACTTCCCCCGTTGGGCCTGCTCCGCCCTTCTCTGTGACGTGTTCCAGGCATATATCACAAGCACCGGGCTGGGCTGCTCAGTGCCTGCTAGACCTCGAGAAGAGTTAGGACCTCCGGAGGCGCTCTCCGAGTTTCATACTCTTGTCTCGCGATCGTTTGGCACACTGCAAGCGCTACATGGGCAATCTGCTTTGTAAGTTTCGTCCCCCGCCCCGCCTCCGTCCCCTGCCAGGCCGATGTCGCCCGCTGGTCTCTCCTGCCTGCTCAGCCTCCCATCCTGTCCGGCACCACCCGGCTGCTCCGCCTGCTCCCGCACCTTCCCACTGCCCTGGGCACAGGCCATTCCACCGGGATCGTAGGCCTTTACCAGCTAGCTTTCATGTGGAGCCCAAGAGACGGTATCCGCTCCCTCAGGCCGTGTGTTCCCCTGTGGGCCTCCTCCCCTCGGTGAACTGGAGGCACCCTCCGAAAAAACCTGTACTGTCCGCTCGTACTTCCATGATGTTCGGACCCTCGACAACTGTGAGGATCCCTCCACCCCGGCAGAAATTCACTGTCCTGCCTTCGCCACCCGAGCAGACAGTCGAGGCTGCGAAGCCGAAACCATCCAGTTCCCTCCCCCGTTCCTGCCCAAAGGGGTTGGGGGAGAAGGTCCAAGAAGTGCCCAGAGAAGGGAAGGAAGATTTTGGAGAGACCAGAGGGCAGGATGATGGGAACAGGGCCCCCCACAGCAGTGGGGATATACTGTTGACATCCAGGCCCCTGGAGACCGGTGGACTGCTCCGTTGGGACCAATGCAGCCCTGCACCTGGGGACCAATCTCCCAGTCCCTCAGGAGACAGCTTGGGGGGGAAACACTCAGATACCTCGGGTGAGCTCCCCCTCGCCCCCAACAGGAAGACCTGTTGTCACCTCAGAGGGCCCAGCTGGTGACGTCGTTCCTCTTCGGAAGCCTGATGCAGAGGCAGCAGTGCTCTCCGACCCAACCCCAAGCTGCCCCTTGCTGCAGGGGAGATTAGCACGGGAAGGGGTGGCTGGAAACCATCAGCCTAGCCAGAGCACACCAGACCTATCCAGGAAGGTCAGAGAGGCGGATAAGCCTTCAGGCATGCCATCAGAGTACTCTTTGCCACCAGTATCTGCCGCCAGTAGGCCCTCCAAGAGGAAAAAATCCATGCCACTTTTTGTGCCTCTGCCATCAGCAATGCCATTACAGGGGGACAGAGGAGAGTTGCCCCCACCTCCTAAGCTTCCTTGCATAGCTACTGACAAAAACCTGGGCATTTCGGACAATACCGAGGGTCAGGGGAAGAGGATCCTGGAGGGCGGAGCAGAGATCCTGGCAGACGCCGGGGCCACTCAACCTGCCCCTTCATCCCCCCTACTTGCCTCAAAGACTACAGACTCCCTGCCCCCGGCCATTCACACATCACAGGTCCCTGTTCCTACCACCGACTTGGCTGACCAATCTGCCAGGCCCCCAATCCCATCTGTCCCTCCACCCTCCCCAACAGAAAATACTGATCAGGAAACAGGACATGGAGCTCCCAACTCTCCTACTCTTGCTGTTCCTCCTGGCTCTCCTCCCCCAGGGGAAATGCCACTTAAGAACAAAGACCCTCTTCAACCAGTCATCAATACAACACCTACTTCTGACCCCCCCGACTCCTCCTAACACCTCAACCGTCTCATCACAGCTGCCCTCCTGCAAAGGAGAATCCCCAAGTCCTATGTGTGTCGACCCCCCCCGCTCTTTTCCCACCCACCCCTCTTCCAGTCCCTTCCCCAAACAGTCCTGGTATTTTCGTTGTGGCTGTCACAACTCAGCCAGTTTCTTCTGCTGTCACAGCAAAGGCATCGTCAAATTTGACATCTGGCCATACTTCCAACTCTGATGTCACTGACATGGACACGACTCCTCCTTCTCAAGCTATCACTTTCAGCTCTCCCCCAGGCCCCGGGGTGAGCTCTCCATCATCATCCCAGGGCCATTGCAATAGGATGCCGAAGCGCCCTCAAAAGGCTCTTGCCTCTACCATCCCATCACAATTGAGGGCCGCCTGCCCCAACATCACCCCTCAGCCCACACAAGGGACACTTGCTGGGCAACAGCAGACAGCCGTTCTCCCCAGTGCCGGTATTTCCACTGGCTTACTGGTGAATTCTGGAGCCACCACCGTTCCAGTAGGCAGCACCTCTGCAAACTGCAGCCATTGCTCTAACCCTGATGCGATGGATACCACACCTCCCTCACAGGCCGTTATCTTTCATTCTCCGCCTCAGCCCAAGGCAAACCACTGGCCATTCTACAACACACCACCCAGTAGCAGCCACACCACCACACGAATATCGATTCCTATCCACTCTGCCCCAGGAATCACCTCTCAGCCCGTATCTGGGAACCAAAATGGGCAGCAGTTGGGGAAACTGCTGGGAAACCAGTTGGGAAAACCAGTAACTGCCCCAACACAAGCCACAGGCCCAACTGCCTCTATAGCCCAACCATCCAAAGATGGCAGAAAGCAACCAGGTCTTGCAGCCTCTGCATTTGGCACCACTGTCAAAAAGCAGAAGGCCTTTGGTTCCAAGACGGGTATTCTCCCCGATGGCATATCTACTGCTAGTGGCCGTGCAGTTGCCGCTGGGATACACAGTGCCCGGGTCAGTGGCTCCCTGATTACACTTTCTACTCTAGCCCCCCAGGTGTCAATAGGACCTGCAGCCCCCATGGACGGTGGGAGCTTTGGGTCTGGTGTCTCTACCCCAGGCCCCGCTCGCTCACAGGTACCCGGAACATCCAAACTTGGGGCAGGACTGCAGGGGGCACCCAGCACCACTCCCGCTCCTCCTTTTGGTCAGACAACTCCGGCCGTGCCTCAGAACATCATGGCTGCTGCTGCAGGAGGGGCAAGTACTGTCCCAGTATCTGGACAGGCTTCCAGTTCCACTTTAAACCCGGGTACCTGGGGCCAACCCGTCCAAAATGTGGGTGGTGCAGTAGTGGGAAACCACAATACAGTTTCCACTGTTGGAGGCGCTGGTGGGCCCAGTACCCTTAAGTGTACTTCTCCCGCTGGAAAACCTTTTCCACGTGGAAAACCAACCACCAAAAGCCAACCCGCCCAAAGCAGGGGTGGTCCGATGATGGGAAAGGACAACACCGCTCCCACCGTCAGAGGCTGCAGTGTGCCCGTTACCTTCAAGTCCATGCACGGCTCATCCAAACAACGAAAACCAGGGGTAACCACAAACAACCACAAACAACGAAAACCAGCTTCCACCTCACAAAAGAGAAATTCGACATCAAGAGACGTGCATGCCTCGCCCTTAAATCCGAGCCCGAGGGGCCGATGTGCCGAGACCACGGGCAGCACACCTATCGGAAAGGACAACGCTGGTCCCGCCATCGCAGCCTCTGGTGTGCCCACGGCACAGAAGCACTCCCAGAGCTCACCCAAACTAAAACGCCCCGCTCTAGGTGGAAAAGCCACTGCAAAGGGGAAAAGAAATGTGTCCCCAAACAGGAGTGTTTCCCCCTCACAGAAAACCGGGGGCTCGCCTGGCCACACGCCCACTCTTGTAATTCCAAGTACAAGCACCAACTCTGTGCTTCAACCCACTACTTGTTCCCTCCTTCCTCCAAGCACCTGTGGCACACCTGCCCAGAATACAGGTGGCGTAAAGGAAGGGAACACCTTCATTCCCAAGACTGGACAATCCGGTATTCCTGCTTTACATCAGAATAACTCTGGCCCACCCGATGCAAACACCGGTGGCACAGATGAAGACGACATCGTAGCTCTGATGGCGGCCCTTTATATCAGCAAGCGCCCTCAGAAGACTTGCAGACTGCCCAGCACTGACACAGGTGGTGCTAGGGGAATCAGCACCACATCTACTATGACTGGAAACACTAATGGTCCCCCATCCACACAGACCACACGGAGCGCCCCCAACCACAGCACTGATGGTGCAATGGGGGGTCGCGCCATGAAATTTTAAAAATCTCCGCTCGGAACACGTGGGCCTGCCCCTAGTCAGAGTACTCCTCTGACTTTGGAGAAACCAGTAATGTGTTTGGAGGGTCCTGGCCTACTGTTCCTGTGCCCTGGACGGAGCCGAGTCACCTTCATTAACTGCCCAGGGCTTCATAGGAAACTACCAAGTTCCTTTCTTTTGTGTCATGAGTCTCAACAAATATGGGACATAAATCCCTCTGCAAATTGTATGTGACAGTAAATGGACTTTGCTGTGCTATAAAGGGGCTCAGCCCCTTCAAGTGAAACTGAACCTATTCTCTTTCTACAAGTCAGAAGGAAACACCCTTCGGGGCTATATATTTTGGAAGGTGAGGGGCACCTGAGCCCAGTTAAGAACTACACCAGATTCGAGAAGTTCCAGATATAGTTCCAGAATAGAAGAAAGCTGCATGTACCATCAACTGTGCGTGCCACCCCTGGCTTGACGTTAACTTGGCCGACCAAAGCTCTGAGCCAGGTTTCCCTAGTCCTGCAACGGGCAGGATGCTGTCTGCTGTCTGCTGTCTGCAAAAGTTCCTTTCCCCATACCTACTTGCCTCAATGGACCCTTATCTTTCCCAAATTGAATATATACTTCTATATCTATAAAACTTTGTTCTCATTAACCAGCCTTTGCTCATGTGCCTTTTTGTCTCAACAGTGGAGAAAGAATTAACCTACGTGAGTGGTGATGGGTTGAACCAGAATTAACTTTGTAAAATTTTCTGTGTATCAGGGGTTGGCGTGTGGAAGTAGCCAGGCTGCTAGTGCTGACTCCTGAAATCTGCATTTTGACTGTAAGGGATGACAATCCAGGAGGAAATAAGGTTCAAAGGAGGAGGGATGAGGTGACTGCCCTCCCCTCTTCCCTCTGTGTTTTGCTCTCCTCTTCCCCCACTCTGACCTCATTATTGGGGGGATAACCCCCGATGTGTCAAAGGAAGCCACTCTATGATTTTAGTTTCTAAACATGTTTAAATGTTTT